GCAAGTGTCAAGAACACACCTTTCGAAGGTGTTGTAATATGTTCTTGAAATAGTTCAAAACAGTTGGTTCTTCTACTTGAATGCATGATTCCGTATTAGTAACTATGTTTTACAATTGTTGTAAAAGTGTGCTAATAAAAAGTAGAAGATTAATGAGAGAAGAGAAAGTACTTCACATTCGGAAAGTGAATAAAATATAGATCTCTGCGAAAGCGGATTGTACTTACTTCCTCATATGAACTACCAAAGAAATTGGAAAATACTAAAGATTGTCTTTACATTCCAATTTTAAGGAACTTAAATCCGTCACTATAGTAGAGATGGATGAATGTTTTGTTTGACAAAACATTGTTCTTTATTAATCAATAATTAGATTATTGTAATTGGTTGTCTCTATAGTAGAGATGATGTGGTAGTTTAACTGTTTAGAATACGATGATGCTTAAAACCCAAAAGGTTGCAAGGTAGTGACTAATCCCAACTGAGTTGTGATACCTCTAAAACATAAGTTACGAGTTGGTCATAGATGGATGCTTTGGATCGTAAGATCCGGATCCAATACCTTCTTGTTAAAATTGTATAGAGGCGAAATGTTCGAATCTTTATTCTTTTGGAAAGAAGAAAGAATCACAAAGTTGTCGAGATTAATTCACTTAGATGTTAGTGGCACTTATCCACAACATAATACTACTCATGTTGTATGACATTCACCGAAGATCACTCTCGGTTGGACTATAGTTTATTTTGAATAAACACAAGTCCGAATACTTTGCAAAAGGTTTCAAAGAATTCAAGAAATGTAAGTTGATGAGTAAGACGTCTAAAGTATTTACCTCCTTGGATTTGATCCAAGGAAAGATAACACTTTAGATGAGTTTCCTTGAAAATATCAAGGAAAATAGCATCATAAGATAATGAATTTCTCCATTAGGAGAAGAACGAACTTGAATAAAATTTAGTTCGTTGGATGTTATCTATTACCCATATATAGGATATATATACTTCTAAAACAATATGATTGTCAATTAGAAGATCTTCCAAAATTTTCATAACTCCATAAGATGTAGTTGGAAAGAAAGACAAATCTTAAACATGTTAAGATTTGGGGTTGTGTGCTAATAAGCAATATTTGTTTGATATGATCAACAAATATAACAACCTAGTTCCTACACCACAAGCTCCAAGGTAGTCGAGAAGGATATATAAATCGTCTCAGTTGAATGGTTTGAACTTTATGACTATGTCATAGAGTTACACCTCTTAATTCGAAAGAAATAAGAATGAAAATCCTTATGACTACACTGAGTGTATATATATGACATATACTCAAGGAAATGGTAAAGTACCATTTGAATCGAAATAATGAAACCTTAATAGCTAATCGGTAGCTTAAGGTGACTACACTCAAAGAAAATGGTTGACTTTGAAGAAACCGTCTTTGACATAGTCTTAGTTTCAATTAATTCGAAGATTGCAAGAAACAACTAAATGGTGATTCAATGTTTGGACATAATATCGGTTTCCGAAACCATTATCAAGATAGTCTTGATAATATATGTCTAAAACTAAGAATCACAAGACATATAAGTTATAGAGATCCATCCATCATGAATCTCAGCAAGTTAGTGGGAGCTATAAGCATCTTATGAGAAAAAGGATCAAATCGTTTGATTTCTCATAAAGATGTAAATGAATCTTTTGTTTACTAGGTTTACAAAAGATTAGTGGGAGTTAATCATATTCCTAAATTTGAATATATATATATATACATGATATATATTAATTTTGAAAATGAAAGGAATTCTTCATCGTTAAAGTTATGACTTTAAACATTCTATAATGATAGAATGTATATGGGAGACATAGTCTATATACATGGGATGGAAATCTATAATGATAGATTTCAAGATATAATTGGATTATATCAATCCCTAAAATAGACAAGAGATGCTAGGAAGTTTCTCATATGATGATAAACTTCAATTAGAATGACAATTCTAGTGAGACTAGGAAGTTGTTCTTCTCAAAGGGAATGTACCCTTTGACTCCCAAAGAAATAATGCGTAAATAGAATCCTTTATGCAGACGCAGAAAGGTGATTTATGTATTTCATATTGTATGAAAACATTGATATAAGTTGTACCTAGAACGGTACAAGATGATATCAGTGCAAGCCCAGGATCAGAACCATGGCAACTGTCAAGTGAATCCTTAAGTATTTAAAGAAATACTAAGGATGGATTCCTCAAGAATGAGGAAGAATTAGAGTAACGTAATGGAAGCGTAAATGTATTAGATTATGAATCTAATCCATCATAGAATATCTCTTCATTATGAATGAAGTGATAATGAGATATCTCTTTATTATGACTAAAGAGATATTTGGGTGGAAACGTTAAAAGTAATGACTTTAATGTGTTCCATCATGTATGCAAAATATATTGCCATATAGAAGCTTACAACATTGTTGTTTGGATGGGAAAGTTCATTTATGAACTCTCCATTCGGTTCCAACCAGAAAGTGTATGACACTAATGGGGCGATAGCTCAAGCCAGGGAATCAAGGTCTCATCAAGGTCCGAACTCAAATGAGAGACTGAACCACATGATTGAGAATCATGTATAATGGTGACGTCGTTATTCTCAAGGTTGCTTCTATGGATAACATATAGATATCCATTGTCTAGGCCTACTACTCAGCCATTTATGAAATGACTACAGAAGAGGTATCATCACTGATGACTAAGCTGATTGGCTCTAGTGCAAGTGGGAGATTGTTGGAAATGTGCCCTAAAACCAATCATATGATGATACTTTATGGACATTTCACATGTTAAACTAATCTAGTTTAATATTAAGGGCAAACATTATTGTTTGAGCCGTCTCATATAAATGTTATATGCTTAAACGATAAGTCCAAGGAATATGTGATTGGGAGAATGCGATCTAAAGAAGTTAGATTCATGAGACCATTCTTTCGTAGACATATCCTAAACGTTCCTGATCATAGGATTGTCAATTGGGCATTGACAGTCCGTTAAGATCAGTACGTGCTATGTCTTCTCTCAGGGAGAGTGATTAGTCTCGAGTCATTGGTGTGTGTGACATCAAGACAAGTACGTAGGTGCTCAATAGAGAATGAGTTCACTGAACACGATCAACGAAGAGTTCTCATATTCATGTCACATGAGAACTCATGGTTGGGATAATGCAAAGTAGTCCTTTGACCTGAGGCATCACAGCTGTCTTGTGGTTAGGTACTTGATCTTTGATTATGTCAAAGTCACTCTATCAGGGTGTCCACGGCATCGTCGGGGTTAAGCCACTTAGCCATGGAGGCAAGTGAATGCGCAACAAGGGATCTCTAACCTTCAAACTGTTTGAGGGAGAATACTCTATGATATGATTTAGAATCTCTGGCCAGAGTATGAATGAGATGTTGGAATGCGTTCCAGATCACATTCAAGGTAATTATATAAGTACAAGATTCACATTGGATAGTAGACATGAATAAACTATCAAACCAAACAATGTGGTCAAGAGTATTGTATTAGAGAAAGACCGTATTGCATTTGTAATCCTAAAACTGAATAGGTTCTCCACCTCTTCTGATTAGCTTGGGTAACCATGACATGCTGCTAGGCGTCAGCCATGGTTTGTGGAAGCCCTAAAAGTGTATTATCACTAACGGGAGAATTGAAAGTAAGTTTCAATTCACAATCGATTAGAAAGAGTTTTTAATCGCCCACTGCCTCGCTAAAAGGAACCTAATGGATCGTTCACCGAGTAAGGTAGAGTTTGAAGAAACAACGGAGATGAGTAAGAATAATTAAATGGTTTAATTATTTATCTAAGGCTAGGATTAATTAATATGTTAATTAATCAAACGAATAAGTTCGTTAAAGACCTCGGGTTAGTTTTGGGCCGCAAGGCCCAATGGGATTTGAATGTCAAGCCCATTAACTCAAGTTGTATGACAACTTGAATAAACAAAGGGCTTGAAAGCCCAATAAACCTATAGGCCGGCCATGTTAGAAGAATAGGGCTTTTGGTCCATTAGGTCACTTATTTGAAGGGACTATATAAAGGACTTTATAGCCTAAAATTCATTGAGGATTTTTTTTGGGGAAAGGATGAGAACACAAGCTCTCCTTTCTCTCTAAAATTTCGGCCACCTTGGAGGGATCATCTAGCAATCAAACTCCTCCAAGGTCACTCATTTCTTCTTCATTATGCCTTGGTGATGAATCATTAGAGGTTCTCAATTTTGGGAACTTTGGAGAAACCTTTTCATCCATCCAAATCCATGGATCTAAGATGCAAGGAATGAAGGCCCTCTCTTTGGGTGATTAGCCTTTGCTTATGCAAAGAGGAATCTACAAAGGTATTGATTTCTCAACTCACTTTGTTTTGAGTTGAGTCTTGGTTCACCTATCTACTAGGCTTTGAATTTCATGGGTAAATGTTTTGTTTTTAAGTGCATACAAGCATGATTCCGCCTTTAATTGTTAATTGCATGCTATTGATATTGCTTAAATGAACATGTTTTTCACAAATCTTCCTTCAATAAATGTATGAAATATATGAGTTATCAAATTGGTCCAACAAGATCCGTATAAATTAATTAAAGATGGTTGGTTGTTTCGATGCCAGTCACTTTCTTGTGAGCCACCCTAGATTGCTTTCCCAATTGACATGGTCTACAAACATATGAGTTAGAAACAGAAAGAGGTGGCAGCCCTCTCACAACCTCATATTTAGACAACTTATTGGGGTCTTTGAAGTTCACCTGCCCAAGTCCCTTATGCCACAGAACACTAGCTTCATCAATAGCTTTGTGACACTAGGAGTATTCAACAACTTTAGAGACATGAAGAATCATGAAGAATGTAGCGACTGTCTCCAGATCTCTGGAGTACAAGCAAGTTATTTCCATGTTCATCTACAATCCGACACCCTATTTTTGAGAAGCACACTTCATTAGCCACATCATCACACAACTAGATAATGCTAATGAGATTTGATTTCAACCCATCGACATAGCTAACATTTTCAAGCTTAGGTAATCTAGGGATCTTGACATCATTTTTCCCTATGATCTGAGACTTGTCTCCACCACCAAACATAACACCACCGCCAATAAAAAGAGCAATAGATGAGAAAGCCTCATTATCTTCAGTCATGTGATGAGAGCACCCATTATTAAGATACCACACATTTGGTTTGGTTAAAGATACAACATTTAGAACAACTAGGCACCATTTTGAGTCATTCTCAACCCACTTCGAACTTAGCTTAATATTTCCAGATGAAGAAGAATGAACAAGCTGAGCAATTCTGTTGATTTCGATGATGAGACAGTCCACCTGATCCTTCAGCAAGTTGGTATTTCCAGAGTACAATTTTCTACATTTTGGACAAATGTGCCCAACTTCACCACAGTGATGACACGTAGGAACAGATCTTGTCTTCGGACAGTGTTCGGCATTCTAAGATACAGGCCTAGATTCTCTCACAAATTTTGTTTTGGTGGGAATAAAACTTGAGCCACATTCTACAAAACCAAGACCACTTTTGTCACCGTGTAGTTTCCCAAAACTAAGCATCTTGTCAAATTTTTTAGCTCCAATAGTAAGGCGAATAACGTTATCATTTGCCTCATTCAACTCAAGTAGCTGTTTCCTGTTAGTTTCATGATACATTACATTGTTTGGCTACAACACATGAATTTGATTCGTCAAATTTTCTTGAGATTTTAGCAAGTTTTGGACTTGAGCTTCAAGAGTAAAGATGACATCTTTATCTTTAACTTTGTCATTGCAATTATGAGCTTTCCCATTTAGCTCCTCAACATGAGCCTCAAGATAACCAATCTTTTCATCCAGTTTAATTCTGACTAGAAGAAGATACTTGTTTTCCTTTTGTAACTCAGTAACTTTTTTAGGTAGTTCAATCTTCTCCACTTTTGTAGAGCAAGTCTCATCAAAGAGTATCATACTTAATGCACAATTCATCATAAGTTTTATCCTCATTGCCATTTAGAACGGAATCATCATCACTTAGAGACACTTCTTCAATTGGAGCAACAAAAGTAACAACCTTTTCTTTATCATCTGACAACTGATCAGATTGCACAAAACCTTGTTCATTGTCATCACTCAAAGCAACCATCATTTCCTTTTCACGCTTTTGACCAAGGAGTTTGGTGTTAGCACAATCAGCAGAACAATGCCCACTTCCACCACATGCAAAGCAGGGACCAGATACCTTCAATAAACCTTTGTCTCATTTTCTAGTGAACACTTTATTCTTCACTCTAGTGGTTGTTTTTCCCGACTGTTTGATGGCTCACTAAACTATTTAGAATCATTCCCTTTAATTTTTAGAATTCTTCTGAATTGTTTAACGAATAGAGTAAGATCATCATCTGAGGCATGTTTACATACATCAGTAACAACCTCACAATTCTGAACACCACGAAGGGCTGCTTCTTTTCTTTTCTTGGAGTCACTTTCATCCATGTCAAGCTCCATCTCATAAGTAATAAGTTTCCCAACTAATTTTCCAAGCTTGATCTCATTTAGGTCCTTAAACTCTTGAATGGCAGCCTTCTTTGCTTGAAATCTCTTGGACAAGCATTTCAAAATCTTTTGAACAATGGTTGTTTCATCAATAGGCTTCCCTAACCCCAAAGCCTCATTTGTTAACCCTTCAACTTTCTTATAGAAGACTTGAGAAAGTCTCAGACTCGAGCATTCTCAGATCCCCAAATTTTGAAAGGGTCATTTAGAGCTTCAGATTTCTCACTTGTTTATCACCCTCATGAAGAATTTGGAGTTTGTCTCAAGCTTGCTTGGTAGTAATGCAACATCGAACATGAGCAAACTGATTAGAGAAAATGGCAGAAACAATTGCATTAATTGGTTTCCCATTTGCTATAGCCGAAGCAATTTCTCCTTGAGTCTATTCACATTTTGGCTTAATCACAGACTCTCTATTGACTAGGCCCAATGGAGACTTCCACTCAAGAGTGAAATAACCAACATCAATAAGATCTTGTGCCTCAAAAAAGATTTGAAACTTCTCGTTCCAAGCGGCATAATTTGTACCATCAAACAATGAAGGTGTATTACACGATTTGCCGACACGATCACAATCTATGGTGAGATTCCACCCAATACCAGCAAATCTCAGAGATCACTCTGTGTATATCTAGAGCAAGGCTCTTGATAGGAACATATTTATGAGACTTTGTTAGCCTATTTCCTTGCATTTACTCAGTTAGTTTATATTTATTAGAGTGTTTTAAGCTATTTTCGTGTGTTTGTAGGTCCAATTGGCAAAGGTGACAAGAAATGGCATTTTGGAGCAATTTGGAGCAGTTTTGGGCTGGAATGGATAGCTTGTGTATGGAGTGCAAGGAATGGACGTTTTTGGTGCTTACAAGGTGCTAGGAATGTGCAAGGAATCAGGAAGGATTTATTATGGCTTGCAATCAATTGAAAACAAGGAGACCTTATCTAGTCCTGTTTTATCTAAAACTTATCCAAACTTACCTTATTTTATCTTATCCTATCCTAATCTTATTTTACCTAAATTCCAGCTGCAAGGGGGACTCCTTTTCATATGAAACCACCTGTTATCTGGTTCTAGAAGCCCTAAGATTGTGCCAAACCACTCTATCATTTTCCCCTAGAAATCTTTCATGCCCTATCCTTGTCCTCCAAGGATTGGTGTCGTGAACCCTAGCCCTATAAATACACCACATATCTGCCGCATAAAGGTAGAGCTTTAGAGAGAATTTCAAAGAGAAAAATATAAAGAGTGCTGCATCAAGGAAGGAAGGAGAAGAAGGACTTGTGCTGTGACCTGCCATCCAAGGCCATTGGAGTGCTGGAGTGTTTCTGGGTTCTTTCTATCCTTAGTTTTAGTTCAATGTTTAAATTAGATTGGTTTTGTTTAATTGCAAACATGTGGAACTAATTTCGTTTTAGCTATAGGTGAATTCAAAGCCATAAACATATATGTGATATGAATTGATTACATCTAGTTATTGTTTCGTAAAACATGAATGCGATTTACTTATTCGTTTGATTAATAACTTATTCTTGTATGTTGATTAAGGATGCATACTTAGTTTGCATGCATGAATTTGATGCTAAAATATAAGGGAATTTCACCTTATAGTTATGAACTTATATTTATAAGTAGTGGAAGTCACTAGTCATGATTGTGCTAAGTAAATCCATGGCAAGAGTATCATGCAGTTCATAGTTACGAATGCCTTGTCAATACTTATGATTTTCATATAACTTAATGATCTTTGATATGTATCTCTATCATGCAGTTCATATAGGGAACTTGATAAGAATAATTTGATTGCGTCACTGAGTCCAATTCAATGAAATTAGGAAAATTTGAGAGTTCATTTGTGCAGTTCACGATTAACTTGGGGCATTGTTATTTATGGTTTATAGGAATAATAACTGGAAATCGATTTGTATGCATATGGTTCATGTATGGAGAAGAATCCTCTAGCTAGCCTTTCACCCCTTAAGTCACCTTAATTTCGTGCAACATTTACTTAGTTCTGCAACTTATTAGTTTTAAGTCAATTTTCGTCCAAACAAACCCCCCTTTCATGTTTTGAGTCAATTTAGTTAGATTTTCGTCCAAAGCACCCCTTAGTGCTTGTTTTGAGTTATTTGAGTCAGTTTAGTTTGTTTTGAGTCAGTTTAGTTTAGTTTTATGTTTTTGAGTCTAGTTAGTGTAGATTAGCATCCCTCCTAATCCCCCGCCTAGAACGATCCCTACTTACTCATACTACTATTGCATAATTAATAGGGCTTAATTTGTGTGTTAGTTTCTATCATATCAGCTCTGATACCAATTGTAATTGGTACCAAGTGGAATAACCTATGTATAAAAATTATAATCCAGTTGGACTGACTCGTCAAGCCCGCTAGTTAACTAAGATAGATTTGTTAGTCGATAAATCTGAGGTTCAAATACCAATTTTAATTCACAAAAATTGGCCTAGTCAGCAAGGTTGTAGATCGTTGCAAGTTATAATGTGTCAAGTGAGCATGACAGTGAGCACATACCATTTAAATGTTCAACAAATATATATACCATGTATGTGTATGTGGGATGTGTGACATAATAAACATAAATTGAACACAAGATATTTTTGGCCGGAAAGACCCACGTCTGGGTTAAAAAAAAAATCAAGGACTCTCCACTAAGTTCAATCCACTAGTGTAAATAAAGGTTCATACAAAGACTACACAAGCTCAGTTCCTAGATCCATATCTACAGAGCAGCTTTACCTTTGTGCAACCTTGCCTTACACGAGATGGACTCTTCGATCATCACGAAGTGGCAGCTCCTGTTGAGCTCATCACCTTGTAGCACCAAGATCAACACGACCAATGATGTGATGTAATTTTACGATATACACATGAAATCTGGATTCAAATGACCAGTCAGATTCTCCGGTCAACCAAATGAAGGAAGAATCTAACTTGAATCCAAATGTTTGGGTTAAAACCAAATTTAAAGTTTAAAACCAGACCAAGACTTAATGCAAAACCTTAAAACAATGCAACCCTAATAGACAATGATTGGATGTTTAATGCATGAGGAAGGTTTGCCAGTTAGGGTTCATAAATAGAGAAGATGCAAGCTTCAAACTTAACAAATAAATTCTGAACATTAAAGAACAATATGAAACCCTAGAAGTAAATATACCCAAGGAAATCAGATTTTCCATCAGCCAACTTGTCCTAAGGACACTTGTCGACTGCAAAAAAGATCTAGGCAGATCAATGGCCAGAAATTGACTACCATCAGAAAGGTGTCAGTCAGCCCATGTGGGCTGTCTTAATCTATGTGCCTAGATATCTAGAAGTTAGCACGCAAAACTGACTATACAATCAAACGAGACAGAATGCAATACAAATAGAGATATGAAATGCACATGCATGAACAAACCTTTAAGATGAAATGTGCCACTTCTTGAACATTTACTCCAGCAACAACATCCCATAAACTGAGTATATTCTAAAGCTAGATTGAGCATGTGTGATGGTTCAATTACAATATTTGACAAGGAAAGCCAAACACTTAAAGTTAAACTATACATCTTCACCTCATATCCTTGGTGTGGAGACTTAGAGATACCATCCCTTTGGTGCTTGGAGAATCCTTCAACAAATCCTTAAGCCCAAAGGACCAAGTAAGGAGCAACGTTTCGAGAAGAGAAAATCCCAGGAGCAAAGAGAGGACTTGAAGGCCTTCTATTTGGGTGATAACCTTGACAGCATATGGATGATCTTCAAGGGTATGAAAGTTCAACTCTTTCTCTTTGATTTTACAAAGAGTTTTGATCATCATTCACTAGGCTTTGAATTTAATATGACTTAGATTTGTTTTGAGTTCATCCTTTCTTTAATTGTTAACATATATGCATATGTTGCTCAAATAGTCTCTTTTAAAGCTTTTCTTTTCATTGCCATCTCGCCAGTAGCTGGGTTGAATGAGCTTGCTCTACCTCTCTTTTGTTTTGGGTTTGGACTTCTTCATCACCTTAGTTGGATCTCTCACTTCAAAGCAGGCTTGTTCTAGTTCCATCTATACTAGCTTAACTGCGTACTCAGAACACTTGTGCTCGATGGCATTCAAGACATTGATGGTGTCTCATTCCAAATTAAGGATCCATTCCCAGTTTCGGTGTGATTTTGGGATGACCCTGTGAAAACATGAATTTCCTATGACAAATCAAACAAGAACACGTGTACAAAATATTGTATTGTATTAGTGAGTTTAGAGTTACAATCTCTTTACAATTTTGAATCCTTTGGTTTAATCTCCGAAATGTAAAGTGTGTGTGTGTATAGGGAAAGTTGTCGATTCACAGGTCACGATGACTTGATCTAGGATGAACAGATGTCACAAGGGTTTGGCTTGTGATTGTGGAAGAACTGGCATATGTAGAGGTGCTTAATGATTCTTCGTGGGTTTGAAGAAGAATGCAGTGAGTTTTCTAAGTGTTTGGGAATTGGGGAGTTTGGGGGCTTGAGTGCTTCAACATCTAGGTGTGAGAATGATTTTCTGAACCCCTCTCTTTGTCTTAGATCCTCATATTTATAGGCTCTCTCAAGCCTTGCCTACTGCTAGATTGGCCTTGATTGTTGACTTTATTTATTGACCTAAGAACTAAGACTTGATTTGAGGCTTGATTCGTGATTTGACTCTATCAATTAATTTAAATCAATTAATTTGTTTGATTTAAATTAAAATTAATTACAGAATTACTAAAGATAATTCTTTAACTATTTTCAGCCAAATGTCACCACTGACACTCGTACTGACTTGTTCGGTTTTGACGAGTCACATGCCATGTCTACAATTTGTGAGACACATGATACAAGCCACGTAAGCCCTAAAATGTTAGAATTTAATGTGTTAGTGAACATTTATTTCACCAGAATTTCGATATCTACACTTTGCATGCCTTGTCAAGCAGTTCGGGCCTCATCTTTCCAGCTTTGGTAGAAGCACTGCAAAGAAAAGCAATTGTTAAATTAGAGGATTTAATTAATAACTCATGCTTAAAATCAGAATTAAATGCAAAAGCTAGATATGCCTATATCCAAAAGTAAATCATTTTTCTAAAATCTTCAAGGCCTAAGGGTTGATGAACCAAAATTTTTTCATATACAAAGAGAAAGGTAAATAGATTATTCACTTGAAGCCATACTTTGGCTCATGGAACCAAATGCTACAATTTTTAGGAAAGGACTTTCAAAATGCCCATTGATGTGTTCTTCCTTTGCCTAAAAATTTCTCCAAAAAAGCCTCCAATGAAAGCGGCCTTTAACTCTCCGCACCAAAGATGAGTAAGGAAGAAGTTGAGGTAACCATGAATAGAGAGAGATAGCACTCTATCACCATAGTGACCAAGTTTGTAAAGAGAAGGAGAATGATGGCTCTCCATTCTTCTCTTTTCGCTCCAAAACCCCTAAGTTGGAAGGAGCTATAAAGTGACTTAGAGTGAGTTATATAGTTGAGCTACAAGTGTGATACCCCAGGTGGAATAACCTCAAATCGGCATATAGTGTAGGTGGGCCTTTTGGAATTTCCCACTTAAGTAGATGGACCTTTTGAAATTCTCACTTAAGTTTTCATGCACAACTTTAGTTATAAGCCTAATGGGTCAACCAAATGGACCTATTAACCCGAAACTTACTTTTAACTCCCAATTTAACATCTTACGAGCATATAATTAATTAACTAACTAAATTAATCTCAATCTACTCAATCTATTAACTTAATTGATTTCACCATAAGTAGTTTTCCTAAACTCAATCTTCTCTGTGTGTGATTCTTTAAGTTCTAAATTTCTAATTAGAGAGATAGTGGGTAGTCAAAACTATTATTAATCAATTGTAAATTAAAATCACCTATGGATTGCATGACCTCTATGCTTGTTTTCATTTTTGTTTTTCTATTCTATTGATTTAGATTATTCTGAAGTTTTAAATTACTTATTTATTTTACGAAGAGTTTAGCTAAAGGCTAACATGTTGGTAAATTGCAAAATAATTTTAGGGGCCCAGAGATTTTTAGACAAAGAGTAGGGTGTTTACAGTAAATGGGTGTGAGGCCCCTTTTGGTATTTGATGGAACTAAAACTTCGTGCTCCGGGCAATTGACATGACTGCCTTGCCAGAATCTCACATGAATTCCGATGAGGTGATGAATGAGGTGATTATTTGGGGGAAATGGTTGGGTCTGTGATGGAGCTACCTACGTATATTCTGGTTAGTTTAAAAGCAATAACATCTTGATAGTATATAAAGCAGAGAAAAATCATTTAATAAATCTTTTCAATTATCGTAATACCTTACTAGTTTTTTAAAATGACATTGTGTACATGTGCTTTGAACACTCTCTTACTTGGGAAAAACGCCGACTAGTATGGTACCGTTGCCACCACAATCCACCATTATCACAATCCCCCACCTCCACCTTAGCAATGACTACCCTCACCATCTTCACTACCATCACCCCTACCAAACCTTCCCCATGCCAACGTGTTCACCACCACCGCCGCCACCCGCACCCTCATCTCTCTCCCGTACATGCAGTACATTTTTCTACAAAACTGTTTAGTACATAAAACTTTGAAAATGATGGTCACTTTGATCATTATACACAAGTACAACAACTTTACATCAACATTTACCAAACGATTGTGACATTGCTTTCGTCTACAACTCTATTTCTCTATCTCATTGGAGGTGCGAATTAACTATCACAAGGTCTATAAGATTGCAATCTGAGATAGCCAAGTAGAAAGTGTGAACTTATATAATTTATTTGAGTAATCTGTGATTGAAAGTTTATTATATTAGGATGGGTTTTCTCAAGTTAAAATCAATTCCATGAGTGTTCTATTATTTTTTTTTATTTTTAAAGTAGAGCAATAAGATTAGTGGGTTAGATAGTTAGTTGTTAGGGAAGATGGAAAATTGATGAGAATTGAACCCATGAACACATAGGCATAATTATTTTCCGTCGATGCAATAGAACGACCTCTACTAATAGATTAACTTTGTTTGGATTGCTATACTAATAGATTGTATAGTGATTAATTTTGAGAAATTTAATGGCCGGTTCAAAGTGTCCGTTGTGGGCCTCCGAAATGTCACAGCCGATCACATGGTTTCTCTGTGTGTAAATTCTCCATTAACAGTAACACATGTTCAATGGTCTTTTGGGAAATCAAATCCTAGCCGTTCGGGTGGATTTGTTACTTGTCCCCACCTAGCTAGTGCCTACTGAGAGGCACCTCACGACCGTACTATGATACAAAATCACCCTTTTGGTACACTTGGATTTGATTTAGTGGCTTCACCCTCAGCTTCCAATTTTGTTATGCTCCATTATACCTTTGCTCGAATCCATGTTTATATTTTTTGTTTTGTCCTTATATATTTTGGATGGTGACATTCACATACTTATTTTTATCTTTCACATATTTCTCTCAAATTTTGACCATTGAATCGAATGAATTGAAGAAAATCAAATGATAAATATTAACAGTGTGTGGGAGGTTAAAAAAATATGTGTGGATAACATCATCCTATATATTATTGTGGCAATCCCAAACTAAGTAGCAATTAGTTTACTTAACTCCCTTGGCATGGAATTTGAAATGACTTCCCTTGGTATAGAATTTGGAACATTTTTTAAACATTCTGTTTCTTTGGTTGATCGTACATTTTTTGATGTGTTTTAAAAAACTTTGTTTCTACCTTTTTAATGTGTGTGGATAACATCATCCTATATATTATTGTAGCAATCCCAAACTAAGTAGCAATTGGCTTACTTAACTCCCTTGGCATGGATTTGAAATGACTTCCCTTGGTATAGAATTTGGAACATTTTTTAAACATTCTGGTTCTTTGGTTGACCGTACATTTTTTGACGTGTTTTAAAAAACTTTGTTTCTACTTTTTTATTTTTTTTATTTTTATTTTTAAGAATAATCAGATGTAGAATAGAATATTAAATGTTTAATATCCTGTAATTGTAAAAGAAATTAAGAAAAAAATAAATAAATAAAAGCTGTGTCAAAGAATTTGATAAACTTCTATGTCGGTGAAGCTATAGGCCTCAAAATCGAGATGAATTGAACTTATTGTGACAACCCAATCCACCGGCCCCTTGACAAAATTATGTTTTTGATATGGCACTAGCAAGGCCTTTTGTATTGTACAGCATATTATTGGGGAAAGTTAAAAGCATTGCTTTTAGAACGTTGATTGAAATAAAAAGGAACAAGAAATAGATTAGTTGTCCCAGCTGATTGGGGGATTCCTTTTCAAGATTTCAAATCTAGCTGGGGCATCAAGTGATTCCACTAACAGCGATCCTATAGCCAGACACTTTGGACAAAGCTTCTTGCTATGTTGAGTCAGCCCATGCTTTTTCTTTAATTGATAGAGGATGGGATAATAATTTGAGATATTTTTCAGCATCCAGATGAAATATTATAAGATTAAAAGCTAGTTGATAGTAATCTATCAACGTAAATAAAAATGGATTGAACAATTAACTAGGGTAAAGAATTGAACAATTCACAAATTGCAAACACTATACAAATTCACAAGAAGCAATAATTACACGTTGTATTGGCTATTGGGTTGGCTAAGTGAAATGAAGGCTCAAAACCCCCAAGGAACAAAGCTCAAACCCAGAAAGCTAAACATATATGTATATATATCATTATATATATTAACTAAAAGTTATACAACTACTTAACAAAAGAATCACAAACTCAGCTAGCTAATACCCCTATAACTACGCACGAAACCTTCAGGTTCAAGTGGTGCAATGCTTACAATGGTGTCTTGAACTGGTTCCGATGAGCTCGGTTGGCTGTAGCCTACAATCTTCTGACACGTCTCAATCAAGTTGTGCCTGCATTTTGGGCACGAAGAGTGCGAACTCAACCACTTATCAATGCAGCGGACATGGAAACCATGGTTACACTTGGGCAGAAGGCGTACACGCTCACCGGCGGTAAACTCAGATAGACAGATGGCACACTCCGTGTCCAAGCCAGGCAGTTTTAACTCAGCTGAGTAATTCACTGTCGGGAACGTTTTTAGGGCTTTTTTCTTTACTCCTGTGTTGGCTAACCTAGCTGAGGTGGCGTTGTTGTTGCCTGCTGATCTAGACTCTGAGGAGGATACAAAACTTGAGCACCTCAAAGCACACTTGATGATGGAGTTTAACCCTAGAGAGCAAATTAGGGCACACAGAAGGACTGAGAGGACCATAACAACATTAGCATCGAAGCTGTTGTCTCCAGGGTATTGGTCTGTTGACGGTGAGTCGATTGTGTTTGTAGAAACTGGAGAAGAGGCGGTGTTTGGTAGTTGGTAAAGTGGGTTTTGTAGGAGTAATCTTCTGGAGTTGATGCCTCCGAGGACCTCCTGAAGGAGCTGAAGAGTAGAGGAAGTAGATGCAGTCATGTTTTGTCTGAAATTGTTCCTAGGACTTAAATGGCTGCACATACGGTTCGTATATATATGGAAATGTTCGTCTTAAAGTGATGAATTTGCTTTTCTTGGTTTTCTTTTTTAATTATATAATTGAATACTTGATCACTGTATCTTGTTTTGAGAATATTCCAAGGGTTATAACCCGCATTAGGGTTTATATTTAAACTTGTAGATAATAGATTTCAACGTTATGGATCCTCCACTGAATCCTCTTGTAGTTTAATGGGCTTTCTATCAAGAAGTACCCTTCCCACTTTCTACGCACTTTGAGAGTACCACGTGACTACTAGGAATGAACGAATCATTTTTCTTTCTAGAAAAGAAAAATAATTTATTAAGAAAAAGCTCTAGCACATCCAGTTTCATAATAAGTTTATAACCAAATTAAAAAGCATTAGAATGAAATGGGGCCTCGATTACTCTAGTCTAAAGTAGAGGTTCGAATTGCACTATTCATGTTTGTTGTGAATAGGGCCCCCATTTTGAATTAATTACGTTTCTGCCATTGTACGCGGGTTAGCCAAAATAGCCGGATTGGGCTGCTACATTTGGGATTCGGAAACAGCTCTCACGCCTTTGGGTGCCCACAATGTGTTCGACGAAAATACCCATCTCTGTCTAAGAGTCACAACCTAGGCGGGTATAAGCGGGTTAGACGGGTGCTTAGGTGGTCAAGGTCACCTTTCTTAATTTTCCAAACCCTAGTTATTAATTGGGACGATGACCAGCTAGCCGTCTTAGCGTCTAGACAGTGCTAGGCAGAGATTTTTGTAACAGTGGGTTCTTCTTCCAAGCTCCTCTTCTGCCAGCTCTTCGAGGAGTCATCCGCCTACACTTACTTGCTCACCGATGTCTCTAACCCCGACAAACCCGCTCTGGTCACCCTTTTCTATTAAATGTTTAATTATTTAAGTACTAATTTTGATTATAATTATGATTAGGATGATGATGAAACTATGATGCGAATTTTGGGTCTTTAATTTGTTGGTTGAATTTGTAGTTGATTGAGCCGGTGGACAAGACGGTAGATAGGGATATCTTGCTTGTCAAAGAGTTGGGGCTGAAGTTGATCGACGCCATGAACACTCATTTTCATGCTGATCACGCGACCGGAATGGGTCTCATCAATGCTCCAACCTTCGAACATGCAAGCTTGTAAGAGTTGGGAAAACTGCAAGCTATTTTCTCTTTAATCGTAATTTTTTGTTGTTGTTATCATTGTCATCGCATCGGCGGAGCTCAGTTTGATACCAATTAATTTCCAAGAGTTGGATGTTGTTTCTCTAGTTCTTTTGTGGTATCCGAGCAGACAATACACATGTTATCGATTTTAGAAACGTTAAAGCCCTAGCTTCCACAACATAATGACTTAATTATCCTCTCCCCAACCATTTCCAAACAATTTTGAATTTGCTTCTATAGCTTAACTCTTTCAACAAAGCAAACCTCTTCTGCAGTAGAGGATCGGTTGAAAAGGTTAACAAGTAAAATTAAAAATAAGTGCATTGTTGTGTACTACTTTTGGACACTAAAAAAGTAATAAATGACTTCAAACTTGTGGAGCCAAAAATAATCAAGAAGAATTTGGATACGACACGTGAATTTTTAGGTAAATAAAACAAAATTACCTTGAGGCACACCGGAACTCCCACACGCAAGCAGCGGATAATCAAGGTCAAAAGTGAGCAAAATAGGTATTTATTCAAAATCTATTTCATACATCCTCATCAAATCTTCCCCAAAAGGTAACCCTCAAATATTCATTCAAATTAGGATTAATTACCTAAATTAATTGATTAATTTCCTAATTGATTGGAAGATATTATTTTGACATAATATCTTGCAATTACACCCAAAAACCACCATAAGTAGCCGGAACCATTTTCTCCAAATGGGGGCCGGCCACACCCCTATAAATAGCTCACATTTCTCCCAAAAACCTAATTCCAACTCTTTTGCAAAATTCTCTAAAATTCTCTAAACACTTTTTCCCTCAAATTCTAACTTTGGCATCGGTTCTTCAGCCAAAGCCCTCCCCTCATTCATCGTGGGTGCATAAGGCTCTTGGCCTTGACCTAAGGTGTTAATTGTTTTGCAGTTGCATTTTCGTCCAAGAAGGAGAAGGCGGAAATATGTATCCACAAAACTCACATATTATATGTATATAATAAATATTCTTGATTTGTCAATTGAAAAAAAAAATTCATAGAACCGAGAAATATATAGTCAACGACTACTTTGTAGTACTACCAACTTACTTAGTTTACCACAATTTTTTATTATAGTCTGTCATGCTGAGTCAGGTATCATAAACATCTCACTATATGAAAGGAACCATCTTTACTCACCACCCTAATTATGGTGTATGCTCTAGGGACAGAGCCACATAGAGGTCAGAATAGGCAAGGGCCCATCTTGAAATTTCACCCATTTTATATGTTTTGTCTGCTAGCTCATACAATCAAGAGCATATGATCCATTAGTGGAGTTGAGTGCAAAGTTTTCAGCAAGTCATGGGTTCGAGACTTATTTATGCAAACAATTTTCTGATTTTCTTACCAAATAAGCCTTATAACTAGTCTTCTATTTTACCATATAAGCCTTTTGATGCCAACGACCTTTTGATTTTTCAAGCCTTTTTTTTTTTTTTTTTTTTTGACATATCATATTAAACAATATCTATACAATCTAGAGGAAGATCTAATTATGTTGAGAGAAAAATCTCATAATAATAGTTTTGAGCTAGCCATGACTTTAAATTTTTGTTCGAATCTATTGTGTTAATCCGTTTTTTATTAAAGCTTGTACGTAAACAAACTCTGTTATTGTGAAATAATCATCTCGATACTAAATTTTTCATACAAAATTTAAAGCTTCATCAGTCTTGTTTGATTAAATTTTTCAATGACTATACTAACAACAAAATACTTTTGATTGCTCTCCAATTAAACATCCTTGTAACTATTGTTTTCTATTTTCTTTCATTTGGTATAAGGGCCCCTCCTGTGATGGATATTTGGCTCAGTCATGGGTATTAATCACAATTGAGAAAAGTGCACTAAAAATTAAAACCCACTTGTGGGGAAAACGTGGTATACACTAGGGGGAGCGCAAATCTTCCCAATCGATCCCATGAGACTTATCACCATTTTCCAATGTGTAATTCCTATAATTATCATATGCATTAACTATTTGTTGGATAAGAGTTTCGAGAAATGTTAAGGGGACTCTCTAAAAAATGGGATTCTTTATGAACTTTTAGTCACCTCATGGCTTTAACACTATTTTATAATGTTGGCATGAAAATTGACGCTAAACTATGAGGCGGCAAAAAGTTCATGAAGAATCCTGCTTTTGAGAGAATTTCCTTAATGTTTCTCGTGAGGTCCACATTTGAAACTTAACAAAATATATTACTACTTCCTACTAATAGCACAAATGTCTTTTGTGAAAATGTAACTAAGTTGAGATGATATCAATATGATTAGTAATGAACCATTCACCCGACTCATTATGACACTGTTAAGCATAATTGTTTTATGCAATATAGTGTTTGCCGGCCCCCCTTAGTATAACTATCAAGAGCCAGCTAGCTGCTGAGTACAGAGTGAAGTTAAAAAAAGAGGAATAGGATTTTCTCCAGATTCTCTTTGTGGGGATCCAGAGGACCAGTTAATCGTGTTTGTTCATCATATATCGTACGATTAGAAATTATTTTTAATTTTTGATTTAAAATTCAATATAAATAGTACCTAACGAAAATTGATCGCACCATGTACGATGAACGGACATGATTGATTGATTCCCGGATTCCCACAAAAAAAATTCGAAGAAGATACTTGTCCAAAAAAAATGGTCCCCGCCGATCAAGAATGATCTTTTTTCCATGCAAGTGACCGATCGCAATATACTGGAATTTTAATGCATTGTCCAATCACGTTGTTGCTCCTAAAAGCAGCACTAGGAACATTCTTTTCCTATGTAAATTAACTAACCAATTTGGAGATAGTTTAAAAAACTAATTAAGGCTAATGTGGAAAATCTTCCACAATCGGAGATGCTCAAATCGCACAATAAACTTTCTTACGCTTTAAGTTAGAAAACGACTAATGTAAACTCGTAGTTGGATTGTGTTCTCTTTTTCGCTCTAAAAGAAATCTAAAATTCATATTATTTCCCTCATATCAGTAAAACGAGAAAAAGAGATTTGTGCCTCTCACAACCCTAAATGTACAAGGGATTAGGGATGGATTTCTTTTAGCACAAGTACAAGTACGGCCTCATTTTATAAGAGAAAGAGAAGTCAATAGTTGTTAAGGTTCCAAAACCAACTAAACTAATAACACATGCCCTGCGTATGTGTTGGATAATTTAAACTAATATCCAACATAGCTATTGATAAAATAAAAATGTATAAAAATTCCAACCTAGCTGCCCGATACAAGTTGCGGATACTTGTTACTTATCAATTATGCTTATGTTTTGAGAACTTTAAGACCACAGAGGGATCAAAGATAGGCGACGATTAAAGTGATACTTTTTGGCTTTGCTTGTACTACAGGGACCACTACTTGGATCTTTATCTTGGTGGGTTGGATTTCACAGAAAGAGTCCTCTTCATCTCTTCCATCAAAGCCACCAAATCAAGTGATCTGGGCTCTTGAAATTTGATCAAACGGCTAAAAACATGGGCCCACTTTAAAAGTTATAATAACTTTAGCCGATTGACCAAATTTCAAGAGCCCGGATCACTTGATTTGGTGGCTTTGGCGGAAGAGATCCTGATCCTGAGAGGATCTCTTCCCAGATTTCACTAGCTAGGTTCTTGTTGCTCTTTGGAGACCTCCCATGGAGGTTTATATCTCCTTGCTTTTTTTTTTTCTTTAAATATATATATCTCCTTGGCTTTAGATAACCAAGGAAAAGGATCCTCTCCGGATCCCTTCCACCAAATCCACCAATTCGGGCCCTTGAAATTTGATCCAATGGCTAAAAATAGGGGCTTCCTTTAAAAATCATAAAAACTTTAGCCGTTTGATCAAATTTCAAGGGTCCGGATTGGTGGAT